ATAATGGAAACTTTCTTTTAATGTACAAAGGTGTATTTTGTCTCTCTCAGTAGAAAGAGAAAACACCAGTGTTTTCTGTGTGTCACACAGCGATTCCAAGTTTTCAACAATGAACATTACCTTGGTGCGCAGAATCTGGCAGTCATTCTGATTACTTTCCAGTCTCTTCAGAGTTTCTGCTTGAGAACCAACAAACTCAGGATGATCTCGGAGATGCATTAGCACAGTCGAGATGTTATTTACTTGACGGGCAGGAAAATACAAGCTCCTCTACCCATGTGGCACAATAGGGGGGCCTCTGCACTCATCTCGCATTGTGTAAAACAAGGCCTTCAAATTGTTCGCATGCTTGAAAATGGCCCTGAATCCAATGATGCAAGATGTAATTTCTTTCATTTCCTTTATGGCAGTAGTTGCTGACAGTGCAACATTAATCAGATGAGCAGGACAGATAACAGGCAGCAGCTCCAGCTTCTGATTGAGTTTAGCATCCCAGACAAACTTATCCATGTAGGATGCAGAATTTGTGTTAGTTGTGGCCAATATAGCTGGTACCTTTCAAACATGTTAGTTATGGCTGCGGCGAGAAAACAGTTGTGAGCAAAGGGGACGAATGTCACCTCAGCACAAAAGAATGAGAGTTTATTCACTTTGAAATCAATAAACAAAAACCAACGGCCAAGAATTGGAAGGTCCAAAGATCAGGAGACCCCTAAAAATCAGACTAGATACCACATCTCCATCCATTCGTTGCATCAGTTTTGCTACTAAAGCATCATCATTATCTTTCAGATACTTACGAATCAGGTTGTCCGCATTAGGGAGGGTTTTTGCTGCTGGACACAATTGCTGCACAAAGTCACCAGTAAGCCCCCCCAGCAATTAACAGTGATTGTCCAACGAAACAAAGAGCATGCACAAATTCATCGACACGCTCGTGCTATGTCCTCTCTTTCATTAAAGCCCCACTGAAAGCTCCTGATATTGACTGTTTATCCCAAAGCTCACTTTCTTCTTTAAGCTTCTGGTGTTGCTTGCTTTTGACATGCTCCTTTATTTTGTCATCGCGAGCGCTGATCTCAATGCTGCCGTACTTGCAGTGCAATGCATCCTCTTCACTCCTGTCTTTACTTGTCTTGAAAAGTTCTAAGCACGGGTTTTCTTGTTGGTACTCAGGTATAGATTTGCGTTTTTGATCCCAAATTTACCTTCTTAGCTTGTCTTTATCAGTGGGTGATTGATTGATTGATTAAATTCAGCGCCGTGCTAAAGGGACGCAAAGAAATAGGCCTCCTTGTGGGCCAATCATACCATGATATTAACATTCTTTGATTTTTCCAATCTCCACCCTATGTGGGTCTTTTGTGTTTTACACTGCGAGACTCCTTCAGTCTCAGAACTTCAAGATGCAATTGCATAAGTGTTAGTGTTTACCAAAAATAAGTACCTGAAAAAAATATTGAGAGGTTTGATAAAATATTGAGTGGTTTTATATCAATGCTCCTGCTCCCTGAAGAATAGTAAGACTGGCCCTCGGGTTCAGGAAACACCCCTCGTTGGAGAGCCCGGCTTCCCCCTGCTGACTTTCTCCAGTTTGGTCTCTGGTACCAAAGAAACATGCTCTGGGTGTCCAAAACTGCATAGGCTGTTGTTTCTAGAGAGCTCTTGGCTTGTCCAGCTAGAGGATTGTTGTCTTAGGCATTGCAGAGAAGGGAGTGGGGAGAAGATTGGTTGAGTGGCCTGTCTTGTCTTCAGTTTATGCAAATGAAAGGGGATGGCTACTTTCAGCATCTTTGCTTTGATAGGCAGCCTAAGGAAGGGAGCCATGGAGAGCAGAGTTGAGAGCCAGGATCTGTTCACGTGGGGCTTCTCGTAGTGCTCGCTCTCTTGTGAAGGCCAAATTGTAGCAACCACCAGTTAGAGGACAATGCCCCAGAATGGTCTGTGACTTGCAGGGTTGGTGTTAGTTAAGGCTATGCTTTTAGGGATCATTTCTCTAGTTAGTGACTGGGGAAGGGTGGTTGTAAAAGCCTGGCCTTGCTAACCACAATGAGGAACTGTAGTGTTTTTTTCTGAGTATGACAATGGTAGAGAGTACTGTTCTATAACAGCTGTTTTCTGCTGTAGAAGAGTGTCTTGCTCTTTCTCACAAGAGCAGGGGAAAGAAACACAGTCTGAGTGGTTAGCTTTGACCATGTTCTGTTGGGTGTGGAAAAAAAAAAGCTTGGGGTATCGGGCTACTGGGAGCTGTACTCAGTGTGGGTTTGATGTGCTGAATTCTCAGCAGTGAAATGTTCCATCTGCTTTCAGGTGTTGTGTGAGTGGGTAGTATCTATCAGCAGGCTTTAGAGAAGGGCTTTCTTTGTGTACATTACTGTGTCTCTGTTAGGTCCTTGCTCCTCATCTCTGCAATCAGCAGGTTTACCATAAAAAGATTCTTTTATCTTTTGTGTGTTCTACTTCATCTGAATAGCTATTTCTCCTTCCTTCACTTTGAAATCAACAAACAATAACCAACGGCCAAGAATTGGAAGGTCTAAAGCATCAGGGGACTCCTCAAAAATCAGACTAGATACCACATCTCCACCCATTCGTTGCATCAGTTTTGCTATTAAAGCATCATCATTATCTTTCAGATATTTACGAATCAGGTTGTCCGCATTAGGGAGGGTTTTTGCTGCTGGACACTATTGCTGCACAAAGTCACCAATAGGCCCCCCCAGCAATTAACAGTGATTTTCTGACAAAACAAAAAGCATGCACAAATTTATTGACACACTCCTGCTATGTCCTCTCTTTCATTAAAGCCCCACTGAAAGCTCCTGATATTGACTGTTTATCCCAAAGCTCACTTTCTTCTTTAAGCTTTTTGTGTTGCTTGCTTTTGACATGCTTCTTTATTCTGTCATCGCGAGCGCTGACCTCAATGCTGCCGTACTTGCAGCGCCATGCATCCTCTTCACTCCTGTCTTTACTTGTCTTGAAAAGTTCTAAGCATGGATTTTCTTGTTGGTTCTCAGGCATAGATTTGTGTTTTCGCCCCATGTTTACTTTCTTATCTTTACCAGTGGGTGGGTGGATGGGTGACTGGTTGATTGATTGATTCAATTCAGCACCGTGCTAAAGGGACGCAAAGAAATAGGCGGGCAGCGTCTCCTTGTGGGCTAATTATACCGTGAATATTAACATTATTTGATTTTCCAATCTCCACCGTGTGTGCGTGTTTTGTGTTTTACACTGCGAGACTCCTTCAATCTCAGAACTTCGGGACACAATTGCATAAAGTGTGAGTGGTTAACAAAAATAAGTACCTGAAAAAAATATTGAGTGGTTTGATAAACCGGTGTAAATCAATAAAACCTGAACTCCTTTAATTAAGAAGCCTGGTAATTTATCAGTGAAAATTGGTTAAAAAACCCAAAACACCCTTAAAAATGCAGAATACTGGTTATGTCAACCCTTCCCGCGTGGTTCCCAAACATATTTTATGTCAACGCTCCTGCTCACTGAAGAATGGTACGACTGGCCCCCAGGTTTATGAAACACCCCTCGTTGGAGAGCCTGACTCCCCACTGCTGACTTTCTCCAATTTGGTCTCTGGTGCCAAAGAAACATGCTCTGGGTGTCCAAAACTGCATCGGCTGTCGTTTCTAGAGAGCTCTTGGCTTGTCCAGCTAGAGGATTGTTGTCTTAGGCATCACAGGGAAGGGAGCAGGGAGAAGATTGGTGGAGTGGCCTGTCTGTGTCTTCAGTTTATGCAAATGAAAGGGGATGGCTACTTTGAGCATCTTTGCTTTGATAGGCAGCCTAGGGAAAGGGGCCACGGAGGACAGAATTGAGAACCAGGATCTGTTCACGTGGGGCTTCTCATAGTGCTCTTTCTCTCATGAAGGCCAAATTGTAGCAACCACCAGTTAGAGGACAATGCCCCGGAATGGGCTGTGACTGGCAGGGTAAGGGTTGGTTAAGGCTGTGCTTTCAGGGAATCATTTCTTTAGTTGGTGATTGGAGAAGGGTGGTTGTAAAAGCTTGTCGGAACTGGACATGGGGACGCAGCTTCCAGAATTAATGTCTTTCTTCCTCCTCTCTTAAAGTCCCCGGGTGAACCTGGAATATGCTTTCTCTTCTTGTTGACAGTGCCATTCTGACAAGCCTCCATAGTCAAAACTGCCAAAGATATGTGCCAGGATCTGTCCACGTGGCAGCTACGGTGTGCTGCTGAGATTCTGCCCCTAAACCTCTCCTTCTTACTTCTCTGAGCCCATATGGCTGGGGTATGGGAAGGGCAGCATGGTGCCCTGGGTAGGGGATTTTCATCCACACTTCTGAGCCTGTGTAGAGCTATTCCTTATACTTTCCACACCAACGAAGAGCCACATACCCAGTGCCCATATGTCAACAGTAAATATATGTAAAGGCTGCTGAGATTGGCATTAAGGCTTTGGGTTACAGAAAACTTTAATGCCAAACTCAGCAGTGACAAAATATATTTGCTGTTGATATCTGTGCCCTGGATATGTGCAGGATGAGCTCTTTGTGTGGGCAGTAGGAGTTGGTTGAATTTGGGGGATGGGGTGTGTTGCTGTCTCTATTGGAGCCAGAGGTGGAAAGGAGGTCCCTGCAGAGGAGGGAGTCTGTGGTGTGGTTCTCTTATTGTCATTATTTCCCTTTATGGGTTTGTGAGGGTGTGCTTTACCCTTGAGTGATTTTTTAAGAAACCTTTTGTTTATGGCAATGGTATCATTTGATTATAGGTTCAAATGCATTTTATTACTATTAATGCAAAGGGATAATAAATTATTATTCTTTGGGTGCTTGCTTATTCCATTCCAATGTAGGGGTGGGCTTGCCCCAAGCACTGCCGGCAGAAAGTTTTCCCTCAGTGGTATCCGTGGGGCGTCTCATAGTGCTCTTTCTCTCATGAAGGCCAAATTGTAGCAACCACCAGTTAGAGGACAATGCCCCGGAATGGGCTGTGACTGGCAGGGTGGGTGTTAGTTAAAGCTATGCTTTTAGGGATCATTTCTCTAGTTGGTGACTGGAGAAGAATGGTTATAAAAGCCTGGCCTTGCTAATCACAATGAATTACTGTAGTGTTTCTTTCTAAGCATGATAATAGCAGAGAGTGCTATTCTGTGATAGCTGTTTTCTGTTGTGGAAGGGTGTCTTGTTTTTCCTAGCAAGAACAAGGGAAAGAAACAGTCTGAGTGATTAGCTGTGAACTTGTTCTGTTAGATGTGAAAAAAAGTCTGAGTGTGGTTACTGAGAGCTGTACTCCTTGGTGGTTTGGTGTGCTGAGTTCTCAGCAGTAAAATGTTCCATCTGCTTTCAGGTGTTGCATGTCTGGGCTGTATCTATCAGCAGGCTTTAGAAAAGGGCTTCATTTGTCTGTGTTACTGTGTCTCTATTAAGTCCTTGCTCCTGGTCTCTGCAATCAGCAAGTTTAACATAAAAAGAGTGCCTTTGATCTTTTACTTCATCTGAATAGCTCTTTCTCCTTCCTTCACTGAGTCTGACAATGCTTCTTCCCATGGCACCTGCCAGTTGTCCTCCAAGCTGGAAGAAATGGATGATGCTTCACCACTGCTAACACCACTGGAGCCACTGGGGCTTGGGAAGATTTTGTCTGTTCCCGCATGGCAAAGCTGAGATTGCCAGGATCGTAACCAGTATTCCCACCATTTTTGCTCTCAGAGAATCCTAGAACATGTCCCCAACTCTAGGTTACACACTGCTGAGCGACTTTCATCGAAGTGAATAGCCATTAGAAATTGTAACAGGGATTATCTGGACTCTGGTCCAGTTCAAAGAAAAGCCTATGGCTCTATAATCTTTGTTAGAGTTCCCTCCCCATTCTGAACTCTAGGGTACAGATGTGGGGACCCGCATGAAAGACCTCCTAAGCTTAGGTTTAGAACTTCCCCAAGGCACACATTCCCCAGCTGCTAAAGGGTTCTGTCTTTTCAACTCCATAACAGCGAGGTCATGCTTCCTCTCTCTTTCCCTCTCCTCCTGAGCATGCTTCTGGTCCTCCATAGCTCTCTTGTGGGCAGCCTC